TTCTCAGTCTTTATCTAATTTTTATGTGATTTACATCTGGGTCTCAAAGCTAACGTAGGTGCAACAGTGAGGAGGAAAATATATCCATTGAGAAGCAAGTGGGCTATGAAATGATGCAAATCCATCTGCACATGGCAATAAAAAGATTTGGAGAGAATACCTGGGATGATTCAGAGGCTGCCAGTTGGAAGGTTGGAGTGGGCTGGATTTTGGTTGCTCTCTTCACTTTGAGATGGAGTTCACTGGCAGAACAGCCCAGCACACTCCTGTCAAACAGGACRGGTCTGGAACTGCCTGAGAGCCCAGCCTGAGCCTCCCAGCAGGGTGGCAGATGGTGACATTGTCACAGCAGTGCCTCAGGGCCATGCTGCGAGCAGGGTCCCATCGCAGTGATAACACAGACACCCACAACAAGAGGCAGAATTCCTCCAAAAGAAATTTGCAGTCTAAATAGGTAGAACCTTCCAAAAAAAAGGACTGGTGAAATACTGTGTTCAAGTAAATGGCACATAGTGGTGAGAGAACATCACCTTTACCCAGTCCACATCCTTKAAGGTTAAAAACTGTTGTTTTCTTGTTACTGTAGCTTCCAGGCAGGATTCCATCCATATTTCAGGCTCCTGTGTTGCCTAAGGGACAGAGGTGGGAAGGAGGAATAACTTGGGCTTTGTCTCACAGCAATGAAAGATACACTGCTTTGTCCCTGTCAAAATTAGCCTGCTCCAGTGGAAGGACTGCTAAAGTACTTATTGTCCTCGCTATCCTCATTAGGTTTGCTAAAAGATTAGGAGGAAGTTGCAACAACTTGAAAATAATAAAAAAGAGACCTTCAGATTAACTAACGGTACTCTATTTGCATATGAATTTGCCCAGTCTGACCATAACCCATTTTTAGAACAGCATGGGAAAAATATGATTCAGATCTTCATTGCTGTTGGGAGGCAGAGCTGGCACATGAAGCATTGGAAAATCATCTCATGGCACCCAGATATAGGGTTAAAGTCTCCTGTGTAAGCCTCCATCATATTGGCTGGCACACTAATAACAATTCCAGCACTGAACAGCCATTCTCCCATGATGGCTGATAGAATAATGTGACTTCTGTAGAGCTTCCTTTCTTCTTAATACTCTGAGACAACTGAGCAGATTCTGAAGAGACCCCTTTAGAAAACGGATGAGCCTGCAAAACCAGCTGCAGAAAACAGAGAATTCTCATTATTCCTTCCCCTTGAGAACATTTTCCAAATAAAATTTCAATTCCCAACCTTASCACAGACACAGCCTTGGCCTCCTCTCAAACAGCACCTTTGTTCAATGTCTCCTTGGCAGGTTCATATCTGCGCCTGTCCCTGAGTTTCCGGATCAAGAGGAACATYGGCTACTTCATCCTGCAGACCTACATGCCGTCCATCCTCATCACCATCCTGTCCTGGGTCTCCTTCTGGATCAATTATGATGCTTCTGCTGCACGAGTGGCACTGGGTATGGACCTTTTCATTGTATTTTGGAGGTGTTTTCTTGAAGGAAATCAGCTGTAACAAAGAAAATCCCTTTTTTTTAATCAGGTAGCAATTAAGCAAGTCTGTCAAAGTTGTCATCCCAAATGGACATATTTTTTTTTCTGAGAACGAACTTTAAATTTTCAGTCAGAAGAGTTGCATTTTTTTTGTTTATTAGTACTTCCCAAACTGGAGTCTATTTCATTTGGATCAGTGAAAGTTCTGCCAGAAATATTCTGGGTGTGAGTTTAAACTCTAAACAAAAATCTAAATGGTTCTCAGATACGTGAGAGCCTGACATGCCATGAGCCCACCAGTTCCTTTGCTCTGGTTTGCACTGGTTTTCTCAAGAAAAGAAATCTGGGCACCTCCTTGTCAACAGGTGTGCCAGGACTGGTTATTTGGGTGATAAATGCTGAGGGTGGATGGCCAAAAAGTTGTGTGGCAATGGTTAAAAGACAAAAGAAATAAAGGAAAGGGCATTGCACATTTTCATGATAGTTTAGTGCCCATACAGACAGTTTTGGCAGCTGAAGACCTTCATGGCCAAGGCAAATGTGGGACAGTAGTTCAAGTTCTTCTTTGGCACACGCTCCCCTAAATAGGAATGTTTTCCTATAAGAGGGGGAAAAATGAGGTCTTTTAAGCAACAGAAGGGAAGTGGGGGTGGATGGCAGATGAGGGTTTTGAAGGAGGAACAGGAGAAAGGGGGGATGGCTGGCATGTGAGAATGGGGCTGTGCAACACGAGGGGAAGTTCAGAGGCAATGGGAGAGGTAAGGAGGGAGCAGAGTTGGATCTGTGAGTGGGACAGGGCTCAGAGAGGCTGTGCAGMACAGGTAGAGGCTGGATTTTACAGCAAAGGTTGGGGACTTAAAGTAGCTCTAGGAGAAGACAGAGTTTGAGAAGGCTCAGAGGGGGTTGGGATGTACAAAGATATAAATCAGATGATTTGGCTGTGCCTGCTTGGAGAGGCTGGAGCACAGACAGGCAGGGAAGGGGAAGAACTTGGTAAATTAAAAAGGTAAGTTGCTCTGACAGGAGTATATAATCAGAGAGAGAGGAGAAAGAGAGSATGGCAGGCGCTGTGAGAGCACAAGCAAAAGGGCGGAGGTGAGACCCACAGCTGTTGGATTTCTGCTGACATCTGGACACCAAGGAGAAGACAGAAGAAAAACATTGTAGATCAGAGCTGCAACAGCTCTCCCTAARCTCCTCCTGACAGCTTTCTATCTAACTTATCCTTAAAAAGCTCAGGAAAAAAGAAACTCCACAGCCTCCTCTGGTCACTTTATCTCCAGATTTACCTGCTTCTTACACAGTCAAAAAGCTCCTCTTTGCCTCTGYCTCCATTGCAATTTGTCCAGTTCTTGATGGAGACATGGAGAACGTTCTATTCTCCCTTTCTTTGCCTYGGATTTCTGTATATTTAGGCTGCTGCCTAAATATAGATGGTGTAATATATTGTGTGTGTATAAATATATCTCCCTTCTGTTTACCCAACTGAAGGCTAATAGTCTTTTCAGTCTTTTATCAGGAATGACACCAGAGACACAGCGAGGGTGAAGGGGAAACAGGACAAGCAGAGGTCCAGGGTGCACTGAGAGCTTTGAGAGCCATCGCTGTAGAGGTGGGGCTGAACCAGAGGGGCAAATTAAGGTCATGGAGAGTGTTGGAGCCATCAGAGATGAGGAGGGAAAAGGAGAAAAGAAGATCAGCAAGGCAGTAAGAACAGCTGGAGAAGCAGGAGAAAACTAGGTTGAAGAGGAAGAGGTACCACCCCAAAAGAAGTATGAAGGCTCACTGATATCTTTTTTGAGCTGGCACAGAGAGGCAGGTCTGAGGCCACTCTGCCAGTCCAGAGAAAAAAAGAGTCAGAGAAGGAGCTGAGGAAGAGGGCTGAAGCTGTGAGTGTAATCATAGTGAATCAGGCTTTTGGAACTGAGTAGATGGGGACAAAAGTGTTCACAAAATGCTTATTTAAGATGCAAGAAATGTGAGGAGGCCTAAAAAGGAGAGTGTGAGAACCATGGGAGGAATGTGTACAAGTGATAATTGATGTAATGAATGGTGAAGCTGCTGAGAGGAAGGTGGGAATTGATGGGGTCAAGGACAGAAGCCTACGAGGCAGGCAAAAAAAAGAGAGTGCCATGAGGAGGAAATCTCTTCTCCAATTCATGGCATTGGGAAGACACAGCAGATTATAAATTCATGCCGAGGATGCTGAGGTATTCGGTAGCACACAGTGAAGCCTGATGAATTCATGAAGGGGAAAAAAGGGAGGAGAAGAGGGTAAAAGGCAGAGCAAAACTGAGTATTTCCTACCACACTGAGAGAAAGGAAGAAACAGGGGGATTTAAAGAAACAGGGTCCAGAGGATGTTGGTCCCCATCAGCTTTGACACTTTCTTCCACTGTTTGCTGCTCGTTCATTTTCCACAGCAATTTKTGCTGGGCACCTGGGCTTCGAATAATGACAATTTCCTTCTCAGTTACACTGTTCCCCTCCCTCCTGAGGCTGTCCAGCTGGAAGGAGGGATGTGGGAGCTGGAAGTGGCATGTCAGGCAGCCATCCCACGTCAGTAACAGAGCGCCTGCCCTCTCCTCACAGGGGTCACCACGGTGCTTACCATGACCACCATCAACACCCACCTGCGGGAGACTCTGCCCAAGATCCCCTACGTCAAGGCTATCGATGTTTATCTCATGGGCTGCTTTGTCTTCGTGTTCCTGGCCCTCCTGGAATATGCTTTTGTCAACTACATCTTCTTCGGGCGAGGGCCCCGGCAGCAGAAGAAGCAGAGYGAGCGCATCAGCAAGGCCAACAACGAGCGCCACCGCTACGAGGAGAAGAGGGTGAGAGAGCAGGTTTGTCCTCTCCTTTCGTTGTGGCAGGGGAATTCAGGCTCTGCACGGGGTGAGCTGGAGCAGCCTTTGTGCTCATCATGAGAGATGAGCTCCAGTTCCCCTTGTCTGGTGGTTACGGGGAACTTTTCCTCTGTGGTCATTTTATCATCCTCAAACCATTGTGCATGGGGCGGGGGTAGCCAAAAGTCCTCTGTGGCTTTTGGTGGTCCTGTGTTGGCAGAATCACACTTCCCCCACTCACAAATTTGCTGCAAGCGCAGGTGGTTGGTCCTTCAACCCCAGCAGCACTGCACAACCCTCAAATGCAGCACATTCAGAGCTTAAAATGACCAAAATCAGGGGTACTGTCACCAAACCCTGGGGAAGAAAAGAAACTCTCCAACACCATCGTTTCAGTATTAACAAGTCAGATATTACTTTATTCTGGCCAGGATGTGCAATAGAAATCATTCCAGCCCCATGTGGTTCTTTACCAGAAATTCCACATATTTCTATATTAAAAAAAATAAAAAATAAAAAAAACCACAAAGAAATTCTCATTCATTGTTTCTACATTATGCAATTTCTAGTATCCAATCTCCTGATGATTACTGATCCCTTCACCTTTAATGCTAATTTGGTCCTCATTCTTTGGATCTTTTACCAATCTTTTCCCAGACCAGGTATCTGAAACCCTTCTGGGGGTTAATATCCATTAATRCCRTTTATCTCCTCTGTATCTTCTGGCTATTCCCAACCTGTAGATGTTAAACTCTCAAAAACTAGGAACATTCTTTTTGCTGATCGAGGCCTCACCCKGTGAAACTTGGTGAACAGAGTATTTCAAAGAGAAACCTCAATTTCCCTCCCCCTTGGCAAAGGCAAACCAGCCCATGACTGAAGTTAAATAAAAATTTTTAGAAGCTGTGTGATTTCCAGCAGTGCTGTCACAGAGAAAACTGCTCAGAGTCACCCCTGATGGTTGTACACGTGCCCAGGACACCCCACTAGCTGCGTGTCTGTGTTCCCCGCTCCAGGTGGACCCTTACGGTAACATCCTCCTCAGCACTCTGGAGATGAACAACGAGCTGCTGGCCACGGACATGATGAGCAGCGTGGGCGACTCTCGAAACTCTGTCATGTCCTTCGAAGGCTCAGGAATCCAGTTCCGCAAGCCGCTGGCCTCTCGGGATGGCTTCGGCCACCACCCCACCCTGGACCGCCACGTCCCGCTGACCCACCACGCCGCCGCCCGCAACCGCGCCAACTGCCGCCTGCGCCGGCGGTCGTCCAAGCTGAAGCTCAAAATCCCAGACCTGACGGACGTCAGCACCATTGACAAGTGGTCACGGATCATTTTTCCGATCACTTTTGGATTCTTCAACCTTGTTTACTGGTTGTACTATGTAAATTGATGCCTGCGGCCTCCGAGAGAGATAATAGGGACAGACACTCAGACAATGACAACACAGGAGTGTTGCGGTCTTTTGGGTTTGGGTTTTACTCTTTACTATCATTGTCATTTATTCCTATGGTTCATTAGATTTATTCTAAGCTTACTCTTCTCTTTTCAGCACATGTAGAACCACGGAGTGTGGGGTGGGGTAAAGGGAGAGAAAGGTAYGGGAGGGGGTTTGGTTTCAGGGAGGGATGTGTTCGTCTTGATTTTGGTTTCCTGCTGAAGGACTTAAACCATTGTAAAAACAAAAACAACCCTACAAAAACACCAAAAACAAAANAAAAAAAAAAAAAAAAAAAAAAAAAAAAAAAAAAAAAAAAAAAAAAAAAAAAAAAAAAAAAAAAAGAAAAAAGAAAAGAAAAAAAGACAGAAAAAAAGGAAAAAAAAACACACAAAAAAACCCCAAAAGCAAGAAAAGTATTTAAAAAAAAAAAGGGGGGAGATTTAAAGAAATTGAGTCAAAAAGTGGTGGGGGTGATAGGTTATCTTTGGCTGTGCTCACTAATGCTCTATCCTCACTTCCATTTCACTACTGAATTTCATCTTTCACTTTCAGTCTTATTATATTTTTTAATCTTTCTTCTGTCACCGCTCTTAACCTCTTCATGTTTATTCTTTCATGGACTCATGAGATGATGGGGTTTCATCCTCACGCTACGAGATTTTTTCTTTTCTTTTTCTCTCTCCCTCTCTCTTGCTTATGAGCCTAAAAGAATCTTTTAAACCAACAAATAAAAAAGAATATTTATTTTGGAAGAGCTGGGAAGGGGGGGGAGGACGAGGCAATTATTTGGGAGGGAAGGGGCAACGTGGGGTTATGGGAGGGGGGGAGGAGGGAACTTATCAAAACCAAGGCACATTTGGAAGATGCCTTTTTCCACCTTCAGGAGTTTGCAAGCTGTTTTTCCTGCGTGAGTGCGTGYGTGTGTGGAGCATCTGTGTGCGTGTGGGCACGTGTGTCCATGGATGTGTGTGTGTGTGCAAGCATGTTTTCTGGGGAGGGGGCTGGGGAGGGGGGTTTTGTAATACCTTTTGTAGGAAGAGAACACAGATGACGTTTAACTGGCAGTGCGTTTTTGGTGGGGGGAATRGCGGGGTTTGTTTGCTCGTTGCAGCTTCGGCAGGTTGCAGGTCGGGGTCCCAGCTGCAGAGGCAGAGCTGGGGAGGCAGAATGTGCAAACAGGCGCTTGCTGAGGGGAGAGAGGGATTTGGGGAGCAGCAACAGGGCAGTGCTGCTCACTGCTGATACAGTCCTCAAAGGAGGGGTTGTTCCTAATAATCCCACCCTGCATCTTTCTTACAGAGTTTGGAGAGAAAGCAGTTGCAGGACTGAAAATTTAACTCTTCCCCCCTCTCCCTGTTCCTTATGCCAAACAGTGGATCCCCATTCCAGCCTGCTGAGTGACCATGGCCTGCATCAGGGCACAGGAAAGGCTGAATGTTATATAAATTTGTTCTGTTTCAGGATGAAAACATAGGGAAATGATAATGATCTCCTTTCCTCAGAAGTTCAGGGGCAAATRGAGGGCTGGCAGCCTCTCATCTGTCCTGCTTCCATCAGGCCTTGCTTGATGTCTGTTAAGAGTGTAGAGGAAAGCACCCTGTGCCCTTCCTTGCAGATGATGGAGCTAAGGGTGCAGTGGYTCCATGGAGCATCATCCTGCTGGAAGGTGATGGTCTCCAAAGGCTGGGTAGGGTGAAGGTTGCAATGAAAATGCTGAGCTTGGTGCTCATGGAAACCCCTCAGCCTCCAGYAGCTTCCATCCACAGGCATTCCTTAGGAAGGTACAGGAGGGGAATTTGGCCTTGGGCAGCTTTTCCCAAAGGAGCCAGTGACTGTCAGGAAAATCACTGAATTATTGGCCACTTTGGCAATCACCGATGATTGATAATCTCCCTTATAGTACTAATAAAAGCCATGAAAATGCTAAATTCACAAGTGCAAAACTTTAACCCGAGGGTCATTCTGCCATGCCTGGAGTAATGGTGAGAATTTGTTCTCATCCAGTGGAGCTTTTCCTGTCAGACCCACAGACATCCACATCACCCTTTATCCAACCATCTCTTTATTTTCCTGTGAGCATTCTCTTCCCTTTTCCTTGATTCCCATTTGCTTGGGAGAGCTGAGTGAATCTCTGAGCCCAGGGAAACTCCTGGTTTTCAGATGACAGGTGAACCTGATGCACATCTTCCCTTCATTCATTTATGTCTGTACAGTGCTATGAAAATGTGAATCACTACAGACCTGACCTAGCAACACCAAAGTCGGGGAAAGTTCAACTTGACTTGGCTGGAGCAGGATCAGACCTCATCAGAGTAATTATTGTTATTTTTATATCAGTAATGTGTCTTATGCAGAATCTGAAGCATAAGAACAGAGCATCCCCCCATCTGTCTCCCTCTCTCATGTTCATGCATGCACACATTTGGTCCAGGCCTCCCTGGACTTACCAAGGTTTTGGCACAATTGTTAAATCAGACTTAGATTGTCCCCTGCCCCACAGAACAGTCTCCTACTGGTTTTCCCATCCAAGAGGAATGCTGTTGGGAATGGGTTTTCCCAAAATTGCTGCAGTTCATGGTCTACATGGGTCTGTATGGGAATAAGGGTCTGGATAGTGGCTGGAGGATCAGGGAGTTCTGTCTACCTGATACACAGGAAATTAAAGCTTGGCCAGTGGTGAAAGTTACACTTTCTGGTGCAATTCTATTCTGAAATATTTTTAAAATGCTTTAAAGGAAGTCATAAAGTTGTGTTTTATGACAGCAGCAGTKCAATGTTGGTGGATATCTGCATGCCATGGCTGCAGTTCCCACATGGAGTCTGCCATCAGCAGGGCCAGTTTTCAAGGGGAATCTACCCAGATGACTGATGATTAAATAAAATACCTAAACACTTACCCTTTATAGGTGTGATTGCAGTGTAAAGGGTGGTCAGAATGATAAAAGTGGGGAGAAAAAGAGGCAGCTGTAAGAGGCCTTTTAAGAGTGGAGGGAAAACTAATGGCTGCGTGGTAAGAAATTCTGAAACTGAGGGAGATTGCTCAGGAGYTCCAGTGATCTGATAGTTGTAGTAAAAGCCTGACAAATGTGTGGCACGAGTTGGGCACCTGAGAGCTCTCTGAGCTGGTGCCAAGGCTGGCAGGGGCAGCAGCACGCAGAGGRTGCAAACCCCAACAATGCTCTTTGCTTGCCAGGTGCTGACCCCACACAGGGTGGGGCCCTGAGTGAGCAGTGCCCTGCAGGTTCAGCCTCCAGAAACTGCACATCAGGCATGGGGAGGCTGAGTTCAAGATTTGAGGCTTCAATCAGAGATTGAGCCCGGTGACAATCCAAAAGCTTTCCAGGGAAAAACGCTGCTTAGCAGATTTCTTCCCCTGCTGGCACTGGGAGCCAGGCTCCTTTGCTGTGCCTCAGTTCTCTGTTGGCTGGGCTCTTTCTCACCAGGAATCATCCGAGTTTCTCTCTTTGAATGTTTCTGACTCGGTATGACCAGGTCAGTGCACAGTCAGCACATCCAGACTCGGGGAGGGCTGGGTCTGACACAGAAATCTTTGCCAAAGAGCACCTGGTCAGACCTTACACTGCCTTACACCTGCTGCTGCTGGGGCTGGAGAGCCACAGAGTGTCCTGGCAGTGGGATGAGTAATAGGATCTGTGTTTTTGTGCACACAGGGGTGAGGGAAGGGTGCTGAAGGCTTTAGAAGCCCCCTCCTCCCAAACTGAGGTGGCACCTCTCTGTCCCMCCTCCGCAGCTCTCTGCGGCCACCCCGAAGGAAGGCAGCAAASCCACGTCTTGTTTTGAGGTCCAGCCATCCAGAAAGGAGATAGTGAAGGGAAAACAAGGCATTTTAAGGATACTCAAGGCTCAKAAGCCATCACAAGCATGAGTGTTACTGGAAAGGTGGAGGGATTTCCATGCTGCATCTCGYGTGCCTGCTGCTGCCCCCCTTTTCTTCATGAAAGGAGAGCAGTGGGGAAAGGGGAGGAAAGAGTGTGGGTGCTTTTCCAAAGCAGAGCTGCTTCTGACTTTTGCTGCAGTGGTGCAGAAGGTGATGCTCAGGGCTTGCTTTGTTGGCAGCTTGGGGCAGGATTGCTGCATGCTGGGTCAGGTTTTTCATGAGAAAATAAAAATTTCTCTCTTTCAAGAGACCGTAACTTGAACATGAGGGATGTTCCAGGCTGCCTGAGGGAGCTGGGCTGGGGCAAAATGTTTTGCACCTTTTCCACATGTAAGAGCCTAAAGGAAGGCACGTGGAGGAGGAGAAGGAAGAGCAGAAATAGAAATGAAATCTCTCTCAGGACATACATGGCCAACACAACTCTATTGCTTCATTTTCTGATACTGTATAGTGCTGTCACTCAGGGACCTTTAGTGACTGGGACCTTGGGACTGTAACTCTACCTGTCCCCTTCCTATCCCCCCTTGAGTACTGAGAAATGAAAAGACAGTGAGAGAAAGTGCAAAAGAGCCCTGCTAGCAAACCCCTGTTATTCCATGGGTGAAAGTAAAGCTTTGGTCACTGARGTTGAAGGGAAATGCAAACCTTTATGTTCATGCCTTGGAGCATAAACCAGTGTATATAGGATAAGTTCACAGTGCATGAAACAAACAGGACTGTAGGTTTTAACCRGCATCCAACTTTCTTGCATGCACATCTGATACCACGCCAGCAGCTTATGTCTTGCAAATAAGTAGGGAACCTGCCAAGGCTTGGCACTTCCTCTGTCCAATGGACAGCACATCCACTTCCCAGAAACAGAGCCAGGAAGGGAGCTGATCTGGCCAGTCTGTTTGACCAGATCTGCTCCAGAGGCTCTGGCAGGAGCAGATAAGGGGTGGGGAAGGGARCTGCTTTTGTTTTCTGTATTGTGGGGAGGAGGAAGGGGTTTAAATCTCTGAGCTGTTTTCAGACAGGAGAGAAGCCTCTGGAGCTGCAGACCAAAGGACAGTGGCTTTAGGGAAGGTGCTCGCTGAAATCCTCATGGAGAGGATGGGATGAGGAAAAGGTGGTGGGAGAGAGCTGTAGGTTCAGAATGAGAGCAAATAGGAGAGAGATTTYGAAAACAGATGTGCAATATAAGAGGTTAGAAGGGAGTGGGGACACCCCTGAGTCAGGCAGGCTGGGTAGAGCTGCAGGCAGCACTCCAGGAAGCCCCACCATGGCAGCAGTCCCTGATGGGCAGAACCCCTGCTCTCTGGGGGACAGGAGGTCAGGGACAGGGAAAAGAGGGAGACTCAGGGTGCTGGCCATCAGCAGAGCTCGGTCCCTGGGGACAGGGACAATCAGTTGCATCCAGACAAAGCTGCAGGAGCTGGGCTGAGATGTGCAGGCCAGTGACCGCTGTCCCGGGCTGGGG